AGAACGCGTGTTGAAAGTTCTCTCAGAAAACCTCTTAGAACTGCGAATCGACAAATTTTACTACTACTTCTTACTACTTCTTACAAACGGAAGTGGAATATCTTGGTTACGAGATATCCGCGCGAGGCGTGAAACTGACGAAAAAAGGCATCAAAGCGATCGAAAAGTTCCCGATTCCCAAGAGCGCTAGAGACGTGCGTAGTTTTATAGGACTCTGTTCTTACTTCCGAAAATTCGTTGAGCGTTTCGCGTCAATCGCCAAACCACTTTACGACCTAACGAAAGCCAACGCGACGTTCCGGTTTAGAGAAACAGAATACGAAGCCTTTAAGGAACTTAAAACTAAGCTTATGGAAGCCCCAATTTTGGCGGTTTACAACTCGAACGATCAAACCGAACTACATTGTGATGCGAGTTCTGTCGGTTAGGGGCAGTCCTCATGCAAAGAAAATCAGATGAGAAAATGCTTCCGGTATTCTATTTCTCCAAACGAACCACTGAAACCGAAGCGAAATTGCACAGCTTTGAACTAGAAACTCTCGCGATAATCTATGCGCTAGAACGTTTCAAGATTTATCTTCAGGGTCTGAAATTCAAAATCATAACCGACTGTAGTGCTGTGACGATGACACTTAAGAAGAAAGATGTAAATCATAGGGTTGAAAAGTAGGCAATTGTCCTGCTAGATTACGATTACGAACTTGAACACCGGGCCAGCACACGTATGCGTCATGTGGACGCTCTAAGTCAAACCATTGGTGTGATAGAAGAGAATCCCTTCGAGTGGAACGTGACGGTATGTCAAGGACAAGATCCTGCTATTGTTGAGATCCGCGACAAACTGGAGAAATCCGAAGATAAATTTTACGAATTAAGAAACGGCCTTGTGTATCGTAAATACGGAGATCAATTACTGTTTTATATGTGCCTCGGCAAATGGAGAAAAACGTGTTATATAAGTACCATGACAAGTTAGGTCATTTGGATACCGAAAAATCGGCCCAAGCTATCCTCGAGAGCTATTGGTTTCCGAAGTTGCGCGAAAAGGTGGATTGCCATATCAAGAATTGCCTCAAATGCATCGCCTTCTCTCCGGTCAGCGGGAAGGTCGCGGGACTAATCCACTCGATACCAAAGGGCGACACTCCCTTCGATACTTTGCATGTCGATCACCTAGTCCGATAGATAAAAAGCGACTTATTAAGCAACATTTGTTAGTCATCATAGACGGCTTTACGAAATTTGTCAAGCTCTATCCGATTAAGACTACATCTAGCAAAAAGGCAATTGGTTCTCTGTGTCAGTATTTCGAACATTATTCACGACTAAAAATAATAGTTACAGACAGAGGCAGTTGCTTCACGAGCTCCGAATTTAAGGAATTCCTAAGTGATAATGGAATCCAACATGTTAAGATTGCTACGGGCTCCCCTCAGGCAAACGGACAGGTGGAACGGGTCAACCGGACGTTGACTCTAATGTTGGCTAAACTATCGGACGACACCATAGGAAAGTACTGGTATAAAACCATTGCCGAAGTCAAGCACGCGCTAAATAATACAGTAAACAAGGTCACCGGCGAAACACCCAGTCGACTGTTGTTTGGTGTGAAACAGCGCGGCGAATTCGTAGACCATTTGCGCGAGCACCTACAAAGCGATCTCGGACAAGAACGATGCGAATTGAATAAGATCCGAGAACAAGCGTCGGATAGAATTCTGCGATCTCAAGCGTATAATAAAGAATATGCGGATAGCAAACGAAAAAAAAGCGCATGAATATGCGGTAGGCGATCTGGTTTCGATTAAGAATTTCGATAGCACGGCCGGAACATCTCATAAGCTTATACCGATTTTTAAAGGAACTTATAAAGTAGCGGAAAAACTCGACAACGATAGATATGTAATCACGGACGCAGACGGATTTCAAAACAAACTGCGTCCTTATCAAGGCATTTGGCAAGCCGCCAATCTGAGGCCGTGGCGGCAAAAGTAGAATAATATAAATAACATTGTTATTATAAATTAATTTGTTCAGTTACGACTCCGTTCGTTCTGCGGAATACATTCGGTCGTTTTTCTTTGTGTATTGTTCTGTCGAAGGCGACATCCAGTCAGGTATGGCCAAATGTAGAATATTTATGTTAATTTTTTATATAAAAGATTTTTTATTTTGTAAACCGCGCCGAGGCCGCGTCGCCACCTGTGGGCGCGAGAGAGTTGTTAGAGTAGAAGTAAGCAGTCAGTCGTAGTAGTGTATGAAGTGTAGACAGAAGCTTATGGCAAAAAGTTCAATTATTTTCCGTGTGATCCATGTGTCAAAAAAGGAATCTCTCCACTATACTGACAAGTAAAAAAGAGGATGTCCTACACTACGTAGAATCGTATAATTATAAACCTCGTTTCGCATCTGAAGCACCAGGTAATGTGAGTTGAACCTCGCTCCGCGTGAAAAGTTGCAAACCCACGTAAAATCGTCTAATTATAAACCTTTGAGTACTATGTATCTGTTGATTTCCTGTGTATATGCGCAATAATGTCGTGTGCAATGTGTATGTGCGCAATAATGTCATGTGTGCAATGTGTATGTGCGCAATAATGTCATGTGTGCAAACGTACATTTGTATTTTTAATTTTTGCATGTGCACAATAATGCTTGTAGGCAATCGCTCTGTAGGCAATTGGGAATGTCGGCAATCGAAGCTGTTGGCAAATGGGAATGTAGGCAGTTGGGACCCTCCCGTTAACGAACTTGCGAGCTGCTCGCGTCCACATAAAAAAGAAAACAGTTTGCGATCTGTTTGTAAACTGTTCGCGAACTCTGGTGAAGACACACCTTAACGTGGCAACGAACAAACAGAACAACTGAACAATGGGCGCGCACACTCACGCAAATCGACGACGCGAAGACGCCGAAAAGCGTCCGAAGAGACGCGAGAACAACCAATACGCATAGAACCGCCTTAGCGCGCAGGGCGGTTATTTTAAAAATAAAATATCTAACAGTTACTATACTAAAAATTCTCGTTTCTTCTTATTCTAATATTTCTGAGATTTCTTTGATTTTCTTTTTTCTTTTATTAACAACCCAGCAAACACAGAACATTGCAGTAACATTGCGGCAATGTTGCAACATTGTAGGAACATTACAGCAATATTGTAACATTGCCACAATGTTGCTGTAATGTTCTGTGTTTACTGGAAATCTTTTTCACTCAATTCTTTTTTCCCCATTAATTGTGTGGTTTTCATGTCATTTTTAACTTTTATTATACATTCCTCTGCGATATACTCCAAAATTTTAAGCTCCTTCTGACATAATCTACAACTATTTTCTTCTCCAAAATCTGGTATTTAGTTCCACATTCCTGCATCTAAATCTCGCGATAATTTTTTGACGATCTTTTTGTCCTTACTTCCTTACCCAGGGAGAAATACAGGTCGAAGAAACATCTAATAGATGTCTATAAACGTAGATAAACCGGAATTCTTATGGCGCATAGTTCCTTATATCCCTTACCATATCTAGATTTCTGTATTCTGTTAAACTGCATTTGTTTTTGAATCTCAATATTTCTTTCAATTAGTTTTTCCGCGATTTTCTTCTCTTAACCATTTCACTTCCATCCCCGACATTCCATTTCTACAAAAATACATTTCTCTCTTTAACCCTCATTCCATTTTATTCTCCTCACTTTTTTCTATCTGTCTAAAACATTCCTTAAATATTTTATTAATTTTCCCTGATTTCCTCAAATTTAGTGCTCTTTTCCCTGACTCTATTCTTATAAGCTAGTCTTTTTGTTCCTTCTCTAATTATATAACTTGGTGTTTCGCAGCCCAGCCCGAGCGACCACTTTATATATTTATTCTAACACCTCTCTATCATTTCATATTCTTTCTATTTCCAAACCTCCGCGCCATACATTAAAAAACTCTTTATTAAATAATCAAACATCCATATCCTTCTCCTAAAATCTCCTGCGAATTTTCTTTTCCCTATTCCCCAAACCTGCTTCATAGCGCTCATGGCTTTCTTAATCGTCTCTTTAATATGCATCTCTGCTCTGTTGTTTCTTTGTAACATATATCCCAGATATTTGAAGTGATTTACTTCTTCTATCTTCTCTGTCCCGTCCCATGTTCATTGCTCTTTTTTTCTTCTTTCCTCGCCTTTTTTAAAAGTTATTATCTTCGATTTCTCTTAAAATTAAGTCTGTCCTCTCCAGAAATTTACAAAAACTCCTTATCATTTCCTTCATCTCGTTCGCATCTCTCGCTACTAGGGACTATGTCATCCGCATATGCGAGGCTCCATATTTTTTTCACCAGTCCTGTCGCTTGCCCTTTTCGTAGAGTATCTTCTACATTAGCAATATTATTGCAAACAATGTAGAGTTTAATGGACATCTCTGTCTTACTTCTGCTTCTGTTCAAAACTCCTTCATTTATACTCTATTTATCGAGACTGATTGCTTCTTCGTAAATTTTTTCTATCTTTCTTATTATCTTTATTATTAGTTTTTATTATCTTTATTATTAGTTGCTCGTTAGTTCCTTTTCTTCTCATAATTACCCACAGTTTTTTCCTATTTATTATATCAAGTACCACCTGTAAATTCGCGAAAAATGCATATATTTTTCCTCCTTTTTTGTTTGTTTTTTCAATGGCATAGTTCAAAATATAAATGTGTCCATCGCGCTTCGTCCTCTTCTGAATCCTACTTGCGTATCCAGTAAAATCTTCTTCTCTTCTATTTTCTTTCTCAGTCTTTCTTCTATTATTATAACATAAATTTGATATGCTGTGAATATATTATATATTATATTTTATAAAAGTGTTATAAAAATATCAGTTAAATTGTTCACTTTTTAGAATAAAAAAAAATAGAAAATAATTCCCAAAGAATATGTAGAGTGATCTGAGATTTTCTTTAGTTAAAGGTAGAAATTGCAAAAGAAATCTTCACATATGTTTTAATAAATAATATTTTGTTTCAGCGATGGGACGAGTTGTGACTTCGATCGTATTGGAACATACTTTATATCCACCGAACGTGGTGCCGCTCTCACAAAATTCCTATCCGATTCACGCTACACGTCCGACTAATCGGCCCACCACTCAACGCCCGAAGAAAAAACCCACCACTATACATCCAATCACTACAATCGATTTGTCCGAAGGAATCAACAATAACATGTTTCTAAACTCTGCCCAACAAAATGCGAACAATGTATGCGGTGTTAGCACACACACCAATGACATAAATCTACTCATCTCCAAGGGGGTAGAAACATCACCAGGCCAGTGGCCATGGTTGGTAGCGATATTCATTGTCAAGTTAGAGTTCAAGTTTCAATGCGCCGGTTCTCTGGTGACCAACAAACATATCATAACAGGTATGTCAAGAAATCAAAGAATGAAATTCAATATGACAATATTTTCCTCGAGTTTTGTTTTGAAATATTTTAAATTAGAATGCATTGTGTTATTAAATAATATAGATTTATATTGTATTTGCCTTATTTTTTTTATAGCTGCACACTGCTGCAAAATAGACCAGACTAATCATAATGTACCACCTAGCGTGTTATATGTGTCCTTGGGACGGTATCGATTGCGCGAGTGGTACGAACCGGGTTCCGTAAATCGGGAGATTGTTAGCTATACGATTCATCCCGACTATACGCACATGGGCAATGGCGATTCCGACCTGGCAATTCTGGTTCTGAGAACCCCAGTCCAGTTCAGCCCTACGATCAAACCTGTCTGTATGTGGTTTGGCCAAACTAACCTTCAGAGCGTTGTCAATAAGTCAGGATACGTCATTGGATGGGGCCGGGATGAGTTCGGTAATCCTTATCTCGCGGAACCAAGAATGACTAGAGTGCCGATAGTGAGTCAGGTAAGAATATTTGTAGGAGGCTCTTGTCTATAATTTTTGCTTTATTTAGTCAGAATGTTAATTTTAATTGTGGCGAGATGAAATTTTTTACATGAAGAAAGCATACTCAAGTATACTAAAGTATATATGAAAAAAGTACTCACAAATATATTGAAATATCGATGAAATTTAAAAAGCAGAAATCGCCATATAATGCCATTGTTAAATGGACAATAAAAAAACTTACAGAAGAAAGGCTATAAAAACCAAAACACGGATGTCAGGACGCAAAAAAACTTATTAATTGATACAATATAGCAACGCTCGGAATTAGTTGCACATTTCGAGCCGATTCAGGAGACGACGCCTCCTGTTCCCCCACTACCGCCCGGCCGCTGGCGGCCGAGCCGCCGATAGCTCTGGCGCAGGAGCGTTTTATATTAGAAATAGGCTAAATTGTTTAGGCATTTCTTAGGAAATCGTAACATTTTCTTCACTACATAAAATGTTTATTTTCATTAATACATAATATATATATATTTAATTATTAATGAAAATAAACATTATTTATGTAGCAAAAAAAATATTATTTTCTGAGAGGTGCCTCAACAACCCAGCCTATTTCTTATATAAAACGCTCCTGCGCCAGAGGTATCGGCGGCTCGGCCTCCAGCGGCCGGGCGGTAGTGGGGGAACAGGAGGCGTCGTCTCCTGAATCGGTTCGAAATGTGCAACTATTTCCGAGCGCTGCAATATAGGAATGTTTTGGCTCAATTTTGAACTCTTCTTAGTCTGGCAGCAAGTATCATTAACATTTGGTTCTCCTGCCAGACTAAGGAGGATCCGAAATTGGGCCAAAACGTTTCTATATCAATTGATAATAAAAATTTTTTGCGCCGTGATATCTGCGTTTTAATTCTTATAACTCTTTTGGTTAATTTTGTTGTTGTTGCAGAACCATAACGTCACTTTAAATGGATAATGTTGAATTATAAGATTTTTGCATAATTATTCATTTTGAATTTTAAGTAATCCGTTGTTTATTGTTACATTTATACACATAGTTACATAGTATTACATTTCGTTATACTTATGTCCATAACGAATGGGTTTGCTGAAATCATTATACGCCTAGATTTGGAGTGACGAATGTGGCAATGCTTCTGTAAAACAATAAGCTGCTATAATTAATAAAGGAACGTACATACGAATTAACATAAACGTTCTGAATAATACTTGCACAAAATTTAACATTAAAAATATTTGAAAGACTTTATACATGTATATCACAACTTGTGGTTGCAACATTAAATTATAATGTTTATAAATGATAAAATTATAACGTTATTTGACAAATTACAGGAAGAATGTCTTTGGAGCGACATGCGTTTCGCTGGCTTCACTTCAAATCGCACCTTTTGTGCCGGTTTGCGAGACGGCAGTGGTCCTTGCAATGGTGATAGCGGGAGCGGTTTAGTGCTTCATGACGCTACAGGCCGTTATCAGTTGCGTGGCATCGTTTCACGGTCGCTGTACGACCACAACGAACTAACCTGCGATCTCACGCAATACGTTATCTACGTCGATGTAGCCAAATACATATCCTGGATTCAACAACAAATCTCTACTACATAGCCACCTTTACTACAGTTTTACAATAAATGCAAAATGTACTAGTCGACTAGCTCTTTAAAAAGTCTATTTAAAATTGCAATATGTAGTTAAAAAAATATGATAACGCATAAGGAGCGATATAACAATTTCATTATTTAATTTTTTATGTTGATTCTTTCTATTGTATATTGAAATCATCACATATATACTGTGTGTACAACAAAGTACTTGTCTAGCTGTATATTTAAAACAATCCCCGATTAAAAAATGAATTTGTCTGTTCTTTATCAAAATTTAATTGCATGTCATATTCACATTGAAAAGAAAAAATCATTATAATTGTAACAGTTAACTGTAATTATACAGTGACTTTATACGCACAATAATTAATATTTAGTGTATAAAAGTTAAAAAGCAACTTTTTTAATTGTAAATTTAATAAAATTGGATAATGTTTTTAAAGTGATGTAATATTTATTATTGAAAAATCGCTCTGCATTTTAAAGTGTTAATTTAACTGGCTCTGTTTTAAAAACCATATTTATTAACATTCTACATACGTATTAAGTTATCATACTGAAATGAGTGTACTTATCGTATGACAGTAGAATGAGGTATGCAGATATACAGGATGTCAATTAAGTCCCGGGACGGCTGAATATTTTCTCATGTAAGGTATTTTTGAAAAAGGTCAAGGTCATTTCTGAAGTAATTTTCAACGAGGAATTCAACGGTGACCTTCAATTTGACCTTGAGCTTGACCTTCAAGGTCATTTCAAGGTTAGGTTAGGTTTTTTAAATAGAAAAAAATATGTAGTTTGCAACATGCAACTGCATACTTTTTTCTTGAAAGCAACTATGTGTTTTCTTTATACCAATTGATTCGTCTTATTATTTTATGCATAAAAGTATTAAGGTAAGATTCCCAAAAATTGAATGTTTTACAAGATATTTTGTATTTTATGTCAAAATACTGTAATTTACAAGCCTCATGACTCGAAAAGTACTTAATAAAAAATAACTTTATTATAATATTTTGAAAAGCTCTTGACACCAGCTATTAGATTTTGGAATCAAAAATAGGGGTTTCTATTTAAAAAACCTAACCTAACCTTGAAATGACCTTGAAGGTCAAGCTCAAGGTCAAATTGAAGGTCACCGTTGAATTCCTCGTTGAAAATTACTTCAGAAATGACTTTGACCTTTTTCAAAAATACCTTACATGAGAAAATATTCAGCCGTCCCGGGACTTAATTGACACTCTGTAGATAGACACACATGCTATAATACACTTATCAGTATCGTCCTTATTTTGATGTAACTGCCAAATAATTCATCAGCGTTTTACATCTACTATCAAACATTACAAAAAGTACGAAAATATTGCCGGTAATTAAAATAACTGTTAGAGAGAATCATTGCTAAAAATATATTAAACATATATTTAGCGATTTAAGTTAATTTTTGCTCATATATATCAGGAGACGCGGTAGTGTCTCCGGTCAAGTTCAAAAAATGACACTACTAAGTCAGGAAAAGTGTCTCCGGCCAAGTTCTAAAAATGACACTACTAACAATAAGTCTTTTATCCTGTGCCCTCAAAGTCGACTTTTCGGGAGTTTGTAGCAACTAAAATATAAAAAATTTTTATAAATACATAGCATATTCTTAAAGATGGCATCGCCACGACTAATTTGAGCCAAAAAAAATTAAATTGGTCCAGCCGTTCGAGAGATACAAGTCAAAAAGTGATGTTGGAATGACAAAAATTAGAAACGTCGTCTCCTTATTCTTTTCCTCTGTTCGCAGGGGCGGATGAAGAATTTACGGGGCTCAGAGCTATTATTATTATCATTAAAATTTACGAGAATTTCTCGCACCATGTGCCAAGAGTCGACGATTTCGACTTCCCGGAGTTGCGCTACGGGAATTCCTCGCACCAGGTGTCAAGGGTCGACGAATTCG